TACTTGAATGATAGATCACATACGATACATACAGTGTGTAATAATAATATATAGTATATACATTACATAATGAATGATAGACCACATACGATACATACAGTGTGTAATAATAATATATAGTATATACATTATATAATGAATGATAGACCACATACGATACATACAGTGTAATAATAATTTATAGTATATACATTATATAATGAATGATAGACCACATACGATACATACAGTGTGTAATAATAATATATAGTATATACATTATATAATGAATGATAGATCACATACGATACATACGTAGACAACATACAGTATGTACTATGTAATAAGGGATCAATAAGGTACTACAGGTACATTTTGTAATGATGGACATAAAGCTACAGTATATCCATGTCAGTTATGTAGACGATGTACAGCTGGGGGTGGGAGATGCCCAGACAGAGTATGATAACAAAATCTGCGTTTATTGCTAAATTACCCCAAAAGGCTGATTTTCAAAAGTATTTATGATCTTTTATTGGTGTCATTTATGGGGAGGCAGCCAGGTTTGTTTGTTTGTCTTGGAAACATTTTTGTCCCTATAATTAATACTTTCACGTTTAACAAGTTTTGCCCACTGAGTCTTTCAGTAAAAGCTTTAGATCCACATTGAAAAAAAAAGCAGCAAAACCTGAGGAACTGACGATTCATCCGTGGCAAATCCTATCATATACAGGCTTAGTCACTGAACGGTGACTTGTCGAGAATTTGGCACAAATTAAGAGGGAACTTAACATTTTAGGGCAATTTAGAATATATATCTAATGTGGAGAAAGTTTACTATTTATCTAATTTGTTTTCAAATTTGAAATTCACATTGAACTTACTTTGACATTCTCAACAATTCACTTTAGTTCAATTTTCAGTTGTTTTTTATTTGGAGGCATATATTGCTATTGTTTAGGAGTATTTATTGGAAATCGAAGTTCATTTGCATGAAATGCCCAAGTTGGGCCTTTTCAGTGATAATAGCAGAGTGAAATTAAATTTATTATCTTAAATCTGGTTTACTGCATCTGTATGCTCCTCTTTCAATTGTCTTTCCTTGCTACCGAGTTTATTAATTATTCCCTAAATAATTGTGTATTGAAACTGAATTTTCTAAATATGTATAAAAAGCTGATTTGAAAAACAATGATGCACTGAAATTCACTAATTATTCAATTAATCCCTAAAAGATGTGATGTTTTAATGTGAGATCATATTAATGGTATGATTCTAGTTTTGATTCAAACTCTGTGCTTTCTATTAAGAAAACTCCTAGTGAGCACAGATTGCCTGAACACACTATCATTTAATTGTAAAAAAAGAAAAATTATCTTACACATCCAGTATATTTAGGAGGCATTTTACGTACCTCATAACAACTAGGGGCCATTATTAACAAATGTTATAGGAAATATTGAATTAGTAATTGAATGTCTATTGTGCTAATTTTTAGAAATATTAGGGTTTTAATTATTTTAAGTAGTATTCCAAGTGGGGTTTGTTTACCAAAGACTGAATTTTAGGAAACTGTAAATCGATAGATGGACAGATAGACAGACAGACAGATAGATGGATTTTTGTGTATTATTTTCTCAGACACCCACTACTCAGCACCTGGACTGAAAATGTTAATTATTTATCTGAGATCATATTTCAGTCTCATTTACCCCAAAGATGATATAAGTTAGCAGCTGTGCAGGGGATACTTGGAGACTGGAATAAGGATTCGATTTGTAAAAATGGGGATTAGTGATCCTTATCTGTAGAAAATATCCATCTGTCTATATCATGCGTAGATATATATTTTTTAAAGTTCTATTAATTAATGGAGAGGCTATAGGAAATGCCTCCGTTTTGTGTTTTTCCAACTTAGCCAAACAGTAGATTTATTTGAAGTGTCCCGTTGATGATGTGTGATGTGATTCTATGGAAAATAAAATGAAATATAAGCTGCTGCAATTGAAGGCATCTTAACATAAAATGTCATAAATTAATGCCTTTCAATTACTATGAGTACTATTTCATTGGAGATTGTTAGCTCTTGGGACTAGGTCCTCATTGCCTTTTGTCCAATTACTGTGAGTACTACTATTTCATTGGAGATTGTTAGCTCTTGGGACTAGGCCCTCATTGCCTTATTTGTTTGGTGTTTCACCACCTGTATTCATGGCAGACCTCTGGAGAATATCTTTGTTATTTATAAATAATAATGATTTTAAATTCAATTTCCCAGAATCATTTCCTGGATCACTAACATCTCCTAATTAATCAGCTATATATCTACTTAAGCAACACAAATATATCTAGGGTGTGTTCACTGAACAGCTAACTGCAGTACATTTAAACCTAATTTGCAATATTCAATTCATAATTTGTTTTATTCTAGAATTTCCCAGCAGCAGCGCCCCCTATGTGTCTATTTAAAGTGGAACTATTATATGACTTGCTTTTGCACAGACCCAAAACGAACTAAAAATTGGATTTATATAGTTTTTGTTTTAAATTCTGCCCAGTTTTTATTTCAATTTTTTATTTTTTTTACATCATATGTCTGAAGGTCCTGGCACAACCAGAGCATACTATGCAAATTACTTTGATCCTCAGTGTCATTCACTTGGGCGCATGCAGCTGCAATGCAACAGTAAAAGAATGCCCAAGTGCATATGGGCTCATACTGCATTTCTTAACAGACGCCCAGGTGGTCTCAGCATTATGGAGCTTTGATACAGAAGGGCATGTTTTACTTTCCTATTATGCTTCACTCCTTCCAGTAAGAGCCTCACTCAATATCAGTAAATTTAGGAATGTCATTTTCAGAGAATGGACATTTAGGTGATTTCCTGGCTACAGATAACCATTTATGGGACAGAAAATGTAATTTGGAACAAGAATAAAATATCTTATTTCTAAAATCATGTATTGTAGTTTAAAGAAAATGACTGGGAGTATTATCGCTGTGGAGTTCTGTTATACACTCAGACACATTACTGGGAGTATTATTGCTGTGGAGCTCTGTGATACACTCAGACACATTACTGGGAGTATTATTGCTGTGGAGCTCTGTTATACACTCAGACACATTACCTGGAGTATTATTGCTGTGGAGCTCTGTTATACACTCAGACACATTACTGGGAGTAGTATTGTTGTGGAGCTCTGTTATACACTCAGACACATTACTGGGAGTATTATTGCTGTGGAGATCTGTTATACACTCAGACACATTACTGGGAGTATTATTGCTGTGGAGCTCTGTTATACACTCAGACACATTACTGGGAGTATTATTGCTGTGGAGCTCTGTTATACACTCAGACACATTACTGGGAGTATTATTGCTGTGGAGCTCTGTTATACACTCAGACACATTACTGGGAGTATTATTGCTGTGGAGCTCTGTTATACACTCAGACACATTACTGGGAGTATTATTGCTGTGGAGCTCTGTTATACACTCAGACACATTACTGGGAGTATTATTGCTGTGGAGCTCTGTTATACACTCAGACACATTACTGGGGTATTATTGCTGTGGAGCTCTGTTATACACTCAGACACATTACTGGGATTATTATTGCTGTGGAGCTCTGTTATACACTCAGACACATTACTGGGAGTATTATTGCTGTGGAGCTCTGTTATACACTCAGACACATTACTGGGAGTATTATTGCTGTGTTGAGCTCTGTTATACACTCAGACACATTACTGGGAGTATTATTGCTGTGTTGAGCTCTGTTATACACTCAGACACATTACTGGGAGTATTATTGTTGTGGAGCTCTGTTATACACTCAGACACATTACTGGGAGTATTATTGCTGTGGAGCTCTGTTATACACTCAGACACATTACTGGGAGTATTATTGCTGTGGAGCTCTGTTATACACTCAGACACATTACTGGGGGTATTATTGCTGTGGAGCTCTGTTATACACTCAGACACATTACTGGGAATATTATTGCTGTGGAGCTCTGTTATACACTCAGACATACATTACTGGAATATTATTGCTGTGGGCTCTGGTATACACTC